AAAAAGCGTAGACTAATAAACGCTTGCCCCATCTATAAATATTCATAAACCCCTGAAGGGTTTATGACGGTATCATAAACTCTAGAAGGGTTTATGAACCTGAGGTTTCATGAAACCAAGGGTATATGACAAAAAGAAGGGTATTTTGTTTCAAGAGTCAAGGATAAGGGTTTATTATTGTTCGCCAAAGGGTATCTTATTGTACGGTTTCAATAGAAGGGTTTATTAGTTTTCATGGAAGGGTATTTTATTCTACGGTTTCAATAGAAGGGTTTATTATTTTCCATGTAAGGGTATTTTATTGTCTAGTTTCGCTGAAATCTTTTGTTTTGTTCTATGTTGATTCAGTATTATATGAATTGATATCGCCATATATCAAAGTATGTTATATAATCAATTGAGGCCACCATCTATCAAAATATGTTAAACCTAGATGGATAACCGTGGAGTTGAATAGGACACGTAAGATGGAGATAATATCTTCGATTTTTGTATTGTCAAGAAAATCCTACCAGTGCAATATTTTACCTTCGCTTTAAAATTATAATGTCATCGTTTGTGTGTCCTCTTTGTCCAAATGATCACATGTTTGTAAGTTTCTGGAGGGTTTTCCGACATATTACAATGGTTCATCAAAATGAAGCTGGGTTCCACATAACTTGCAACCTGTCTTCAAAATGTGGTGTTTCTTATCGAACGTATTCTGCTTACAAATCACACATTTATCGCAATCATTCACATGAACTTCATTTAAAAAAAGAGAAAGCAGACAATACCAATATGCTTGGTGTCAATAATAGTGAAGAAATTAATTATGATTCAAATGTTAATGCAAATTTATTGGGCAATGATGCCGAAGAAGATTCAATAGGTATGAATAATAATAGACTTAATTTAAGTAAATAAGATATTTATTTAGATTTATTACAAGATGATGAAGAAGAAACAAATAATGATACAACAAATTTATTCAACTCGCCTGTTAATCAGGATGACGACCTCGTTACTATTACAGATATTGAAAAATCATATGCTTCGTTTATTTTACAACTGCGTGAAGAATTCTTTTTGCCGAAAAGCACCACCAATTCGATTTCTAGTTATATTGCAACACTTATAACTCATTTACAATGTTTAATTAAACAAAAAACTATGATACACGATGCTCGTCATAGTTCTGAAGCATCATCATCTCAAGCAGTGAATACATCGTCTAACAAGATTGTGGAATTAGAAGTAGTAAACAATACTATGAATGAAGTACGTCATTCAATTGAACGCATTACTCGAAATGAATATCAATTTGTTAACTACTGCAAAGAATATTTTAACTATGATCCACCAGAAGAAATTATTGTATCAGCTCCCAATGAACGATTGGAATGCGGATATTATATTCCTATTGATAAAACATTATCTTCGATTTTTAATACTCAACATACTCTTGTTCAAGTCGTTGATAATATAAAACAACAACAAGAAGCGACTGCTATCGATAATGATTTAATGTTCTCTTTTCGTGATGGAAGTTATGGTGCACGAATCGATGACAACAGCTTGCTTATACAATTATATGCTGATGATATCGGATTAACAAATCCTATTGGTGCTAAGAAAGATCAACATAAAATGTTTATGGTATATTTCTCTTTGGAAGATGTTCCCGATCAATATCATTCACGATTAGATGGTATTAATTTAGTTGCACTGTGTAACAGTCGAATTTTGAAGGTAAAACCTCTTATAAGTTGTTTGAATAAATACCATATAACTTGAAAAATTTTTAACATTTTCTTTCTAGAATATCACAAAAGCAAGAAGATTTTTTGAACCAATAATCGAAAATCTCAACCAATTGCAATCACAAGGAATATGTATTAACGGCAATAAACTCAAATTCTCGTTTTCAACAATGATAGCGGATAATTTGGCTGCTCATATGATCGGTGGCTTTCAATCTTCGTTCAGCAATGGATATTTTTGTCGCCGTTGTTATACATCGTATGCTGATAGAAATTTACCAATATTAATGGCAACAGCTGTTGGCAGAACCTGTATTGATCACGATGATTTAGTTCAACAAGTTACAGCAGATCCACAAAAGTCTCCTTTAATGGGCATTGTTGGTAAGAGTCTTCTATATGATCTTGTTGGCTTTCATTCGACCACGTCTTTACCTGGCGATTTGATGCATGATTTCCTCGAAGGCATTTGTCCGATTGTTATTATGGCCTTATTAAAAGAAGCGTCGTCCTTGCGTTTATTGACTTATGGTGAGTATCGATATCTTATTATAAGAGTATTTTTCCGATTGAAATGACTTCAGCGGGAAAATGACGACGATTTAATCAAATATAGATAATTGTCAGTGAATCAACTTTAAGTGAACTTCGCTACACCTCGTGATTTATTCTTGATAAAATTCAATAGAATCTAACGAACAATAGTATCCTTAACACTTATAGCAGAAAATGATTTTTAGTTTTCATACTCCATGCATCATGTTGTTAACCGATAGAACCAGGATAGTTCCAAAAAAATAGTTAAATATCTAATTTATTTTTTTGAAAAATAAAATTGTTCAGACTTTCGATAGAATAATCTAAAAAAGTAAAATGCGAATCTAGTTTTATACGACTAGTTAAAAATCATATAAATAAACTATTACATGATGTTATATATAATATGCAGCTTAAGAGTGATGCTTCTAAAAATACTGTTCAAATATACACAGAAATTTTAACGATAAAACAATCTCGTTTCCATAGATCGTAGCACATGTTCTTGATATAAGATTGTTGTCTATATATCAATAATGTCTATTTTAAATATACTGTCCAGTTTCTAATGGTTTAATAAAACAACATATCTATTATTAGTAATAGAACCCGCATCGCGTATCACATTTAAATCTCGCAAGGAATATGCTATTAGCTTGTTTTTAATTTATGCATGTCTTCGAAATGTATTCGATAATGAGATAGTAACGATAATATTTTACAAACTTCAAAGTCGGATAAAACTACAGAAACAAGCAGGGCTATGAATAAATTTTAATTTGTACACTTAATTAAAGTTGATTCACTCTCTTATGAATATCGTTTTTGGATAAAAACATGTTCATAAATTAATCTATTACTTACGTTTATTATTGATCATTTACTTCTCTATGTCATAATTTTTTTCTTCTTTTCGTAATATTTAAGCTCGCATTCAAGAACTAACGGAAACATTTCCATATGGACATTTTGATACAAGTGATCGGCCGCCTCCTATTCAAGTGAAACATTTACAGAACGATCGAATTTCTGCCACAGCATCACAAAAACTTTGCATTTTTCGCCTTTTCCCATTTATCTTTTATAGTATTATTGATAAAATACCATCCATCATTGTCTATAAACAATTACGTGAAATACTCGATCTTGTTTTATCAACACCATTCAGAAAAGAATGGCTACCAATTCTGCGTGATCTATGTATTGCATTTCAACAATCAATGCTTATTCATTTTCCTACGAAGATGGTGCCAAAGTGTCACTTTGTTTTGGAATATGATCAAATAATAAAAGATTATGGTCCAGCAAGAAAAAATTGGTGTATGCGATACGAGGCTTACCATTCTTATTTTAAACGAATTGCATTGAGATCAAATAATTTCAAGAACGTACCGAAAATGCTGGCCTCACGGTATCAAATGAAACAATCATACAGATTATCAAGAATGGCATTATTCAAAACCTTTGATCAAGCTATTGGAATAAAAAATGTTAAAAATAATCATTTCAATAATCAATTGAAGCAGATTTTAATCGATCATTTTGGTATTATTGACATTGCTAAAGATCTTATTCAATGTAATAAATATTACCATGAAAATGTTGAATATTATCGTTTTGGTGTTTATGTGGTAGATTTTTTGAATAATAATGAAGCGCCAGGATTTATTCACGTGGTAAACATTATTAAAAAGGACCAAAAGTGGTGGCTCTTGGTTGATATATTGCAAACTATTTCTTACAATGATATGTTATGCGCATGGGAAATTAAATCAACAGATAATTATTCGATACTGGATCCTCATCATCTGAAATATTATGCTAAAGGACTTGACATTTATGAGTTGAATAACTCAAGCTTTGTTTCTTTTAATGCACGTTTCACTTTCTATTAGAGTAAATAAAAAAGATAGTACTGTAAAGTCTTCATTGAATACAAATTCAAACAATGTAGTTGTAAGAATAACTTTTTTTCTTGTGTTTGTCTTGTTAAAATGATATGAAAAAAGCTTACCGTTTTGTCAGTCTTTGGGAGCTATTAAGTTTGGAATTTTCTGAAGCAAACTGAAAATCTTACAACTTCCATTACTTTCTCAAACAGATGTCTACTTTTCTTATGTTTAGAACTTGAAATCGATGGTGAAACTCTTGCATTGATGGACAGCATCGATAAAGCAACAACTTTATTTCCAAAGTTAAAGCAACAATTGCTGTTTTTAAGTGAACGAGAAAAGCTGTTTGAAATTAAAAAGACGATTTAATTCCAAGTATTGATTCATCATCAATTACTTCAACCAATTTCAGCTCATCTTCTTCCTCTATCAAACCAGCAGCTAATTGTTCAACAGATGATTATATGGATGATCGAGTATTCGAAGAAAGTTCAGTCAAACAAAAATCGAACATATTATTTCCCATCGAATATATAATACCAGCATTACCAGATTCTTTACTTCAGGATATTGAAGCAGGTGCACTACATAAATNCAAGTATTGATTCATCATCAATTACTTCAACCAATTTCAGCTCATCTTCTTCCTCTATCAAACCAGCAGCTAATTGTTCAACAGATGATTATATGGATGATCGAGTATTCGAAGAAAGTTCAGTCAAACAAAAATCGAACATATTATTTCCCATCGAATATATAATACCAGCATTACCAGATTCTTTACTTCAGGATATTGAAGCAGGTGCACTACATAAATTCGGACCACACCATACTACACTGTAAAAAAAATCCGTAGAATATTAAACCAAAAAAGGGTTGGTGAAAGTGCAACGTATAATAAACCCTTTTTCCGTTTTTGAAAATTTTCATAAACCCTAAAGGGTATTTTCCACATAATCGTAAAGTTTTTAAGGGTTTATGAAAATTTTCAAAAACGGAAAAGGGTTTATTATACGTTGCACTTTCATCAATCCTTAAGGGTTTAGTATTCCACGAATTTTTTTTACAGTGTAATCGTCAAGTACTTGTTGATATTGTTACACATGATTTGATAAACCAATACGATCTTTTGTATAAATCATGTTTCGATTCAAACAATGTAACCAAATATAAACTAAGCACATAAATGTTATTCTTCTAGCATGTGAGTTATATATAGATTTCAAGAATTGATATTCTCAACAAGCAGATGTCAGCATTACTAATATGGCATACTGACTATTAGTATCACTGTAAAAAAGAGGAAGCGTAGAACAATAAATGTTTGCCCTATCTATAAATATTCATAAACCCTTAAAGGTTTTATAAAACCAAGGTTATATGAAAAAAATAAGGGTTTTTTGTTTCAAGATTCAAGGATAAGGGTTTGTGATTGTTAATGAAAGGGTATCTTATTCTACGCTGCCAAGAGAAGGGTTTATTGTTGTTCATGAAAGGGTATATTATCCTACAGTTTCAATTGAAGCGTTTGTAATTGCTCATAAAAGGGTATATTATTCCACGATATCAAGAGAAGGGTTCATGTTTTACATGGAAAAGGATATTATTCTACTATTTCGCTGAAATGTTTATATTCTGCTATATTGATTCACTATTATGCTTTTGAATATGTCTATTTTAAGATTCGTATGATACGATATTGATACTATATGCTTTGGGCCAAGTGTTGTTTTTTCTTACAAGAATGTGGCTGTAATAACAATGAGTGTTTCGATGAAAATGCTGTAGAAATTTATAGATTGATTGCGCCATCTATCCAAGTGTGTTAGCGTTGAAAGAATAAGTTTGAATTGAACACGAAAAGTAAAGTAGAGATAGAAAGATATTCTTCGGTTTCTTTATATTGAAACAAAGAAAGCACTTATCTTAGTTAAAATGCTATAATTCGCATATAAAAAAGACATCTTCAATTTAATGCGAAATACTTTAGTAGTTTAAATTTTAGATTCCTTTTGTGTGAAGAATATACAATGAATTTCAGTTGTGACGAAGTGGTGGAATGGTGTAAATCATTTATTAATGATGATATTATTATTTCTCGATTTAAAGGTCAGTTTGTTTAATTTTCGTTGAAGACTGTGGGTGGACGGGTCAATATATTTTTTTCTATTGTTTTTTTAATGTTAGCATGGCATAAAAACTACATACCGTTTTGCCTGTCTTTGAGAGCTATTGAGCTTGAAATCTTCTGAAGCAAACTGAAAATCTTACAACTTCCATTACTTTCTCAAACAGATGTCTACTTTTCTTATGTTTAGAGCTTGAAATTGATGGTGAAACTCTTGCATTGATGGACAGCATCGATAAAACAACAACGTTATTTCCAAAGTTAAAGCAACAATTGCTGTTTTTAAGTGAACGAGAAAAACTGCTTAAAGTTCAAAAAACCGATTTAATTTCAAGTATTGATTCATCATCAATTACTTCAACCAATTTCAGCTCATCTTCTTCCTCTATCAAACCAGCAGCTAATTGTTCAACAGATGATTATATGGATGATCGAGTATTCGAAGAAAGTTCAGTCAAACAAAAATCGAACATATTATTTCCCATCGAATATATAATACCAGCATTACCAGATTCTTTACTTCAGGATATTGAAGCAGGCGCACTACATAAATTCGGACCACACCATACTAATCGTCAAGTACTTGTTGATATTGTTACACATGATTTGATAAACCAATACGATCTTTTGTAAGTTATGTTTCGGTTCAAACAATGGAACTAGATATAAACTAAACATAAAAATGTTATTCTTCTAGTATTTTTGTTATAGATAGATTTCAAGAATTGATGTTCTCAACAAGCAGATGTCAGCATTACTAATATGGGCATAACAACTATAAGTAGTCGATAGCGGTTTTTATCGATCTGACGTTTTGAGATTTTTCTTTTAATTTTATTGAAAGACAGACGTGAGAAAAATAATTAAATATAAAATAATACATTTTCGAAGTCTAATTCTAAAGTATTTTACGCCATGAAACTAAATCTCATGAAAGTTGTGTGTATTCGTTCACGACACACAAGAAAAGGTTTGGTTATATGAATCAAGTCCTGTGTAGCTTTAAGTAATTTTAAATAATTGAAAACTTTTGCGCAATGGAGATTATGCTGAATCTATCACGGCTTTAATTAATTGGGTGCTTTTAATATGATCGTACTGCTTTTGTTGTTGTCTTCAACAAAACAACCAGCATTAGGGCTGCTTCAGCTTACGTATAAACCAAAGAATTGCATAAAAGAATAATTTAATACTATGTTATGTGAATTTCATTATTGATTGCTATTTTTCTGTTTAGTTATCCAACTCATAAACAATTCGATCTTATTGGTACAGCCATTATTCGTCAATTGAAGTTGCCAATGACAAGAGATAATATTGTAGGTTGATTTGTAATATGTGTATCGTATGAACACTTCAGTAGTTTGCTAGTGACTACAGACCAATGTATGTTTTTCTATCTTTCATTAAGTTCATTTCTATTTCAACTACTCTCTTCGGAGAGCTATCCGTAGTATTCGACCACAGGAATAAATAGTAAAATCTATGCTACGCTGGATCTAAACATGACACTAAAGCGCTACATAAAATAATCAAGATCATGTGCACAAGTTTATGCAATACGGAACAAGCCATACAGCACTGTGCAGTGTAACAAGAGTTTTGCAATTTCAATAATTGCCGATGAAATTACTGCTTAAAATGAAATTTTAAAACTGAATCGACTTTAGGCTCATAGGCTAATTTTAAAGAAATGTTGCCATATGCAATATTGAACTCTTTCAAATTTAGCATTTTGATTATATCATATTGTTTTACAAATCTGCAGCTGTTTTCTAAGATGTTGCTAATTATTAGCGCCGATTCAAGAATCTCCACACATTCTCGATAAAATAAAGAACTGAAAAATCCATTAAACAATACTGAATATACCAAGAGGAACGTTTTCTATTCCGTTGTATAGGGATACTTTAAACTTCATTGATATATTAAACGAATTGACTAAAAATTCATTTCTATATTACATTATAGGCTATTTGGAAAGATGCCGTTCAAACTAAATTAAAACGAAAACGACTTCAGCATCGAGATCATGTTGACGTGAAACATCATCAATCCAAGTATTCAAAAAATGGCTCAGGTCGTCCGGTGAAAAGAATGATTGGCGAAGTTGCTCAACGTGATCGACAAAAACAAGTAAGTTTCTATTAAATTTGTCTCTATTGTTGCTTCACCTATGTTGTAGCTTATGCTTTTAAACTACGATGCTGATACATTTAATGATCTTCAATTAAAATCTAAATCATTAAAAGATAATTCTCAAATTGAGTTTAATAGTCTACTAAATTTATGGAAAGAAACTGTTTACGTTCGACGAAAAGCAATACGTGATCGACCTACATCAGAAATTCTTGAAGGATTTCCTGGATATAAAGATCCTGTTTTGGTGATTTAATTATTTGCATATTTTGATTCTCATTGAATAAATCTATTTTTCGAATAGATTTTTGAAGAAGTCAAAATAAGTATGGGAGTGGATTTACGTGTTGTCGTACGGCGGCAAATACCAATTTTACTTCAAAAAATGATTACAACGCCTGCGTTTATTACAGGTAAGACCAAGAATTAATGTATATCGAATAATTATGTCTTCTTTTAGATTCTCCACCGATTCAGCTTATCCGAGTGCTTTGTCGACAATTTGAAGAGACTGTTCATCATACGTACTGTAACACAGTAAGTGCATTTGTGTATTGTTGTTTTTGGGTTACGAGATAATTTGTACTTATGTGATGAAGATGGACGCAAGACACTCTAGCGATTAAATTTGTGCAAAAAGATAAAGACTTAATAATATTCAAAAGTATACTAAAAAATAAAAAATGTTGCATCGGTAATTTCAATTCTTTTTTTTTGTGAAATAATCTAGTAAAATGAGAAAGATTAATTGTTGCTGCCATTTATTGCAAAAAAAATGATTCTCACGCTAAAACAAACCATTAGATAGATTTAGCATGATTCTTTATTGAGTCAATCAGAATGATCCATACAGCTGTTTCAACGGGTCAGCATTAGCAATAACTAAGAAGTAGCTATTTTCAAATAACTTATTTCTGAATTTCTGCTTCATCCTTCAGTCTGATCGGTCACTATCGTATGTAAACGGACCACCGCGATAATTAATAAAGGTGTATTGTGACCGATGATATGAAATGAATCATTAAAGAATATAAGATAGCAAATGATGGTGGTAATAGATATCCACTTAGTATGATCTTAGATGATGTTAACGATTGCCTTTTATGTAGATTATACGAGCCATTGATGTCCCATTATAACGACCAGTTTGTGCTTTGAATCATTGCAAATTTTTGGTTTTAATTAGTCAACTTACATACCGCTAAATATAAATATAGATATATATATATATATTGAATCTACATAATACTAAGCGACTGATACGTACAGGTGTTTATTTTGAATATATTTCACACAAACGTTTTTGATTAACTTCATGGTTTTATTTCTAAGCATATACATTTTCTAGACACCATCGACACCATATCCAACATTAGTTTTTGTCGATCATATTATCCATGTTTATGTGGATTTTATACCAATTGTCTCAACAACATCACCCGATGATGCATTAGCACTTTTACTAGCAATGTATGCTATATTTGAATTGAATTTTCATAAAAACAGTCGTTCAATACGTTTACTATATGCAATTGTTTTCGCTGATAAACGCTTTTTATCGAATACAATTCGTGACGTGATACAAGAGAAACAAATTGATATTTATAGTGAATTAAATCGACAACAATTGACTGAAATCAACTCGATTACCAATAACCTCGTAACAGGTAATGTTAACTCTTAAACTGATAGTCGCAATTTTCGTCAAAAATTAACTTCATTTGATTAGAGTCCTCCACAACTGAACAACCCCATTGTTACAACGACAATAAGTCGAGCGTAAACATGGTCATTAATGCGACAGAGTAAGTTTGCTTTTTTTAAATTTGACTATATAAATGTTAATTTTTTTTCCACATAGAATTCTCAACAACAACGAAAATGCAACTTCAGCATCATTTGATTCTCCTGCACCAATAGTAAAGGGACGAAAACGACCACAAAAATTGCCAAAAACGCTCACCACGGAAAAACCAATGCCCATTGATCATGATAGCGATCATGAGAATCAAAATGATTGTAGTTCCTCAATGAGCAAGAAATTACAACGTGTTGATAAGCATTCAAGCAAGAAAAAACGTCGTTATTAATATATTTTAATTAACAACTATTGTTGTTTTGTTTTTTGTTTTTTAATCCTTTTCTTGCTCTTGTAATGTATTAACTATGTGTGAAAACGTGAAAAAAGCAAACTTGATATTTTTTTATTTGAAACGTTTAACATGTGAAACAATAAAATTCGATGAACAAATTAAAGTTTCTTATTGATCAACTAGCTTAATTTTCACAATATATGAAGAACGAAATCTCAATCCTAGATTAACAATGGTTGTGTAAGAAACAGGCAATTTAAACGAATTATACAGACTTCCACATCATGAGCAGTTAGCTTCTACGATATTGTATGATATACTGTAGAAATCATGCATTCCATTGATAGTTCTTGTCTTTCTTTATTCTCATGTAGTTTTCAATGCCATACGAATATCGTCCTGTTGCTCCTATTTCGAGCAGCAGACGTTTTACTATCCTGCTTATGTTAAATCAACGAATATTGATTGTACCTAAACGTTTTTCAATCGAATATGTCTACCAACACTTGCTCATATATTTTCTATGAAACTCAGACGCATATTTAATTAATCAAGTCTATTGTAATAAGGCTTTTATTGAATTGATATAAATGTTGTTTTACTAAGAGGTATATTAGAGAATAAGCCTAATCTTTTTTCCTTTTTATTTCATTGCAAATGATAATAATCTTCCGATTTAGTTTAATTAAGCGAAATATTTTTCTATCTTTCATGCATAGCCAAGCTACTACTGAGTGAAGAATTTTCTTTTTCATAACAATTTTAACATTGTACTTAGCTTAGCGATAACTTGTACATTCATGATAATGTCACAAGCAAGCAAGTTAAATGTTTCAATTTCGACAATGTAAACTGCTTGATTAAATCTTAAACATATTATGTAATGAACGAATATAATGCTATCATAAATGACGTTGGTTTTGAAAGCATTCTGCAAACATTTCGACAGTAGTTGACGATTTATTATTTTCATCAATAGAAAAATGAAGTTGACACACCGACATTTTAAATAGATCGTTTGANATAAATGTTGTTTTACTAAGAGGTATATTAGAGAATAAGCCTAATCTTTTTTCCTTTTTATTTCATTGCAAATGATAATACTCTTCCGATTTAGTTTAATTAAGCGAAATATTTTTCTATCTTTCATGCATAGCCAAGCTACTACTGAGTGAAGAATTTTCTTTTTCATAACAATTTTAGCATTGTACTTAGCTTAGCGATAACTTGTACATTCATGATAATGTCACAAGCAAGCAAGTTAAATGTTTCAATTTTGACAATGTAAACTGCTTGATTAAATCTTAAACATATTATGTAATGAACGAATATAATGCTATCATAAATGACGCTGGTTTTGAAAGCATTCTGCAAACACTTCGACAGTAGTTGACGATTTATTATTTTCATCAATAGAAAAATGAAGTTGACACACCGACATTTTAAATAGATCGTTTGATATCACAATATGATCAGTTACTTCTGTTCAATAATTCATTAATTTAATTTCTGTATCAAAGCTCACGCGTTATACATGATGGTATTATTTGAACTTACTAAAGCATTTAACATATAACGATAAGATACATTAGGAATACTGTTGTTACTGTATAAGATCTTTTTCTGTAATAAGTGCTTATGATAATCAGCAAGATGTGTGAATGGACACTGTGTTAATGAATTATACATTCTTTATGTCAATCTCCATCGATCTTATTTCGATTGCCTATGTGGCTGCTGTGCAAAATGGTCCATACATGACTTCAAATGTTTATGAAAAAATTATTTCTTGTTCCATATTATTTAACAATACGTTAAATGATTTTTTATTCAATTGGCGATCAATGACATATACTTGCATATATTAGTCTTCAGGTAAGGTGAATATTTAATTTATTTACATGAATTTGTACATATCTTTTTCTCTGTTCTAGTTATCGATCATCAAAATTCTACAATAGCTGAATTAGTATTATTTTCAATAAAAAAATTCTTTATTTATATCATATTACAATTGTCTTATTTCGTTTATTCCTGTAAAACATGGTCAGTATATGAATTTATATTTTTTTTAAGAAATTATTTTTTTTAATATTACTTGACAATGTTTTGAATGTCTTTTTATGTTTTTCTGAACTCTGATCGAAATAAAAATGTCGAAAAATAAAAATATCATCGTAGATGGCGCTTGATTGCATTTCGCCATTTTCCTTTTCACATTTTTATTCCGTCCATAGTTTCGAGAACTCTTTTTTTTTTATTCAGGTGGTGATCAGCAACATATACTTCAGTAGATTAGTCTTTAAACGAGATAAACATTTAATTTATTTATATGAGTCTAGTCTATACGTTCACTTTTTTTGTTCTAGCTATGAATCATAAAAATTCAACAATAGCTAAATCAACAATGTTTTAAATAAATAAATTCTTCATTTAGATCAATTTAAATTTACAATTATATTATTTCGATTATTTATTTGTTGTTGTAGAACATGGTTAATGTATTATTTATATGGTTTTAAACAAATTGTTATTTTGTGCAGATTATTTGGCAATGTTTTAAATGTCTTTTTGTTCAATTGGCGATCAACAACATATACTTGAAACAATTATAATTTTTAAGTAAGATGACCATTTAATTTATTTATATGAATCTGCATATATATTTGTTTCTGTTCTAGTTATCGATCATCAAAATTCTACAATAGCTCAACTAGTATCGTGTTGAATGAGTAAGTATTTCTTCATTTCATTTAAGTCGTTTTAGAATTATATCATTTCGATTATTTATTGGTTAACTATAGAACATGGTCAATGCATTATTTAGATGATTTTGTACAAATTATTTGACAATCTATTAAATGGCTTTTTATCCAGTTGGTGATCAACAACATATACTTGCATATATTAGTCTTTAGGTGAGGTGACTATTTAATTTATTTCCATGAATCTGCATATATCTTTTTCTCTGTTTTAGGTACTGGTCCTCATAGATTTATTACTGGTGGCTCAACACTGTTCAATATATGATTGGTTAACCTACGTTAACGAACATTCATTTTTGCTTTATTGTTATCTAGTGTCGGATCGGACAGATCGTCACAACATAAATCTAAATAATTAAATAAATTATTTATACGTGTAAATCTGTAGTCTTTTAAATATTTGTTTTTATTCTGCAACTGTCGAACAAGATTGTCCTCAAGTGCAGATGAATATGGTTTAAAAGTCGATAGGTTATTTGTTGACATGAATGTATTTTTATCTTTTTTCTCTAGTAATTGATATAAAGCATGGTCAGGCGGTGAGTATAGATTCTGTTTGATACACAATTTATTATTAATAATCTACAGTCATGTAAATCTTTTTTTGCACCTAGTGATGAACAACATAGGTGATGGTGAAGACAAGTTTTGGTGAAGCTGATAGTTTATTTATACATCGAGCTGCACTTATCATATCGTGTTTGTCTAGTGGGTGTTTTCGAACATGGTCAACGGGTGATTATTAATTTTGATTCAAGCAGTAGGTGTTTTACTTATGGTAACCGTTATTTCTGTTTTTATGATGGCTAGTTTGTGATGAACAACGTGGAAATTGGGAGTAAGTATAGGTTTCTGTTATTCATATCGATTTAATAGAGCACTAGTTTTTTGAACATTTACGACCCATGAAATGAATAGGTTTACGATTACTTTTTTGTTTTTAAGAGTTATCTCTCAGAAGATGCGCCTGGAAAGAGTAGTTTTACGTCCCAATACGTATATTTTGTTCGACCATGTGTTATCCGTAATAATCATTATATGATATTAGATGGAAATAAATCAGTAATGTCATATAGCCTTTATTATTACTTGCGATCGGTTTCTCAAGTTTGAATGAATCCACTTCAAGGAAATGTCTTTTTACTTTTTGTTTGTCTTAGCTTTTCGTATAAATAATATTTAGAAGTGCCAGCTCACATAATGACTTGGTAGTATTGTTTAACATGAGCACACTAAAGTTCCACCAAGAAAGCACAACATAGTATGATGACAAAAATTAGATTTTGTATTTTGCGTTCGATAGCATCTCTGGACTATTCCAAGTGTTAAGCTGCCTTACAAAATACGTATCCTGATAAAAAAAAATACACTATTTTCTAGAGGTAATTCTGAGACAGGTTTGCAAAAGGACCCAGCCATATCAAATCTATTTACTTCTGTGCATTATCAAAAGTACTATTATGACGATTCTTTATGAACTATTCATTACTAATTCTTTTAAACTCTTGAACTTTTTAGACTTGTTCTGCATAAGATTTCATATGAATCCATAGAGAATATCTCGTTGAATTCCTAGATTGAAATGAATGTTTCCAGTAAAAGCGTAAAATACGACAAATCTGAAAAATTCTTCTCCCGCTATACTTTATATCTTACTGATGCCTTAGAAAATCGGATCTTCGTATATTTTCCTGTCAATATGGAAGAAAGTGCAAAAAAGCTTTGTGAAATCGATTCACCTATGAACAAATCTTTTCATAAACCTACTTTGGTGGTTCATGCAAAGACTTGTTGTTCTCATTCAACTTGCATCAAATTCTTCAAAAGAGTTTATAAATATCAAGTACCCTGTCATGTACTCTTTCTAAGGGTACCTGAAGGAGTCTCCAAAAGTGCAACGTGCAATAAACCCTTACAAGGGTTTATGAAAACCAAATACCCTTTCATATACCCTTAGTAGGCGTATATAAAAGTGTATATGAATATTAAATACCCTTTCATATACCCTTCGGGAGGGTATTTGAAAGGGTACATGGAAATCAAATACCCTTATAAGGGTTTATGAAAGTGCAACGTAGACTAAACCCTTTAAGGGTTTATGAAAACCGAATACCCTTTCATATACCCTTAGTAGAGGTATTTAAAAGGGTATATGAAAATTAAATACGCTTTCATATACCCTTCGGGAGGGTATTTGAAAGGGTACATGGAAATCAAATACCCTTATAAGGG